ATACGTCGCTGATCAAATTGATCCTAGCCTGGATTGGAAAATGGTGGAATGGGTAATCAGGTACGAAATGCTGATTGTTTTTTTGTTACCAGTTGTATGACTGAAGAGGGCTTTGTAATGATGGATCAACAGAGAAATTCCCCTTAAATGCCAAACTCTTCTCGAAATAGTTTTTGAAAAAAACCAAATTCTCCTAACCCTAACAGTAATATGCTAGGTTTTAATCAGATGTTTTTTTAAAAATAAACCTGTTGCGAAAACAGGCGAAACCTCTTGCAGTAACACAAAACTACCAATAATTATGAAAGGAATCATGCGAGCTGATGACGCCGAAGAAGCGATTGCTCGAGGTGTGCACGGAATAATTGTATCGAATCATGGAGGACGACAACTGGATAGCGCTCCTGCTACTGTAATTATTTCAACTTAAAAAAATCATTTTAGAAAAACAAGACTTGCCATCTGAGTATGTAAAGTGGCAGAACTTTCTAGAAAAAATGCTTGCTTTTAGATAGACGTACTTCCGAGCATTGTGCAAGCTGTTAATGGGAGAGTTCCGGTATGTTCATTTGTTGAATCATTAACAAAAATGATTTATTTGCAAATCTATCAGTAAATTGCCTTTTATGTATTTCTTGACGGTGGCATCCGAAATGGACGCGACATCTTCAAGGCCATAGCACTTGGCGCCAGCGGGGTATTCGTTGGTCGTCCCGTGATCTGGGGTTTGACCGTAGGGGTAAGCTAGAGCTTCTGCAATTGAAATTTCTCTAGTTTATTTTATAATCCAAAGTTTTTGTCACAAATAGTAATGCCTTGATAAAATCTATCATGTTTACTTATGATTATCAGTTACGTCTCACTAGAACTAAATGCCAACCATCAAAGCTAGTTAGTAGTTGCACTTAGCGACAGTATTGAAAGCCGCAGAAACAGGCCTCGGCACGAGGTTTCCGATTGGACCTTACGAGAACGAATCCCCGCTTGAAAATCCAGGAATTCACGAAGCCCCCTTTGTAACCTGTACAGACACGTGCAAGCAGGACAAGCATTGCAGTGCGGTATACTTGGAGCGCGTTTTCTTCATTAGGGTAATACGATTTAGGGCCCTAGCAAAGAAGAGA